TATATATATATAATTATTGTGGTAGGTTTATTTCTTCATTATTTCAAGCAAAGTCAATTTTTAAAATCATAAATAGTTGAAAACAGCTTAAAACAATTATTTAAAATAGTAAAATGCTCAATTATCTGCAATAAACGTGCAAAAAATGTAACCAGCCTGTTTTTAGATGAATGAATTTGATAATAAATTACATTAAGTAAACATTATTTAACAAATCTGTACTTGACTAAACATTTTTCCAGAAGTATTTTGCACAGTAATCTGATTGTTTCGTGAAAACAGCGGTAGAATTTATCAGAATGAGCAAAATGTTATTAAACAAATCAAATTTAGGATGAAGAGATCATCACATAAAAATGTGTCCCTGTGAGAAAAAACATTTACCCCCTTTCTTGTGCTTTCTTTAGTTGTAAAAATATTCAGTTAGGATCTCTTAAGTTATTTCCTGTCACAAAAATACAACCATTTCCTGAGAGAAATACAAACCCACATTTCACATCTGTGCATGTGTGCACATGCGTGCGCCTTATAAAGCTGGTCGAAAACTGTGAACAGGAGATCAGAAAAAGCTAAGGTTAGAGGAACCGAGAGCTGCAGTCGTTTTGGGTAAAAAAAAAAAAAAAGTCAAACAAAATCTAAAAAAGGTTTGTCTGCAGATTCCCTGAGCTTGAAACGGTGAGAAGAAGAAGAAGAAGACGAGGCTGAAAAAGTGCTGCACCTGTTCTCTGTGTAGAAGACAAAAAGGCTCGCCTAGAGTTAAAAAGAGCATAAAAGAAAGAAACTGAAGGTGAGAAGCCGAGAGAAGAGACCTGGTACTTGGGAGCATAGTTGGTGTCAGGGGAAAAGAAGATCTAGAGTAAAGCTGTGATGGATAGCCTACATGTCTATCACGGACCCATCGGTAAGGAGGAGGGCGAGCGACGGCTAGCCCAGGACGGGAGAGACGGCTCCTACTTGGTCCGAGACAGTGACTCTGTGCCGGGCGTCTTCTGCCTCTGTGTGCTGTGAGTACAAACACAAACTTTATTACACATTAAAAACTGAACATTTCCAATATGGAAAATAGTTTTCAATTACACAAAGTTTGTTTTCTCAGTCATCCAGGTATATAACTACAAAAAAGGTTGAATCATGTCATCTGGACTTCGTTTTTTTTGTTAA